AGATTGGAAAATTATTCAATATTTTTAAAATATTACATGTTCTTATTTCTAACCAATCATTATTTATTATATATATTTTTTTATTTTTTAATCATCTAATATAATATCAGCCATTCATTTTCTTCATCAATTACAACATGATAGAGTACATATGTTTATATTTCAAAGTAACTGAATAATGATCCGAATGGACCACGGAGACCGGTGATCCGCAGCCGTCAAATCCCTATTGGCTACGTGAAAAGTGGGTCACCCAGCTGCTTGTGTCGTCATTATTGTGTGCACATTCGTTTAATGAGTTTGGCAACATGTTTTTAAAAATAAAAAAAATAAGATAAAAAATAAAGAGTCAAAATTTACTTTAAAAAAAAAGGGGTTTTTTTTTAAAGTCCCTGATATTAAGACTTTATAGCATAAAGGACACTCAATATTTTCATAATGTCTAAGGTCCCTCAATATCAATCCAGAGAAAATTCGATCCACAGAATTTCTCTGAACACATCACAGAGAAAATTCTAAATTTCTCTGGACATATCACATAGAAAATTTCAGAGAAAATTCCAAATTTATCTAAACACATCACAGAGAAAATTTCAAATTTCTCTGAATAGTGCGCTGCTTCTTGAAGCAGTGGTTCCACTATAGAACAAATTGATTTTGTATCCAGATCAACTGTGGCACAAGTCTTTAAATAGGAATACTTCCATATATTAAAACTATAAAGCTTTTTATCAAATTCTAAATCAAATTCCCAGAGAAAATTTGATCCAGTGAATTTCTCTGGACACATCACAGAGGAAATTTCAAATTTCTCTGGACATATCACATAGAAATTTCCAAAGAAAATCCCAAATTTCTCTGGACACATCACAAAGAAAATTCTAAATTTCTCTAGACATATCACATAGAAAATTTCAGAGAAAATTCCAAATATCTCTGAACACATCATAGAGAAAATTTCAAATTTCTCTAGATAGTGCTCTGCTTCTTGAAGCAGTGGTTCCACTATAGAACAAATTGATTTTGCATCCAGATCAACTGTGGCACAAGTCTTTAAGTAAGAATGTTTCCATATATTAAAACTATGAAGCTTTTTATCAAATTCCAAATCAAATTCGCAGAGAAAATTTGATCCAGTGAATTTCTCTGGACACATCACAGAGAAAATTTCAATTTCTCTGGACATATCACATAGAAAATTCCAGAGAAAATCCTAAATTTCTCTGGACACATCACAGAGAAAATTTCAAATTTCTCTAGATAGTGCTTTACTTCTTGAAGCAGGGGTTCCACCATAGAACGAATCGATTTTGTGGTGCTATCCCAAATCCAGATCAACTGTGGCACAAGTCTAAACCCATATCCATCTTTGATGCAATACCCTGCCATTCTCACCAAATTTCGGTGCCTAATCAAACTCAGAGTCATCATCTCAATGCTAAAGTTTGTCTCAGACAATTCCACTTTCTTGATAGCCCAATGCTTTCTGGATTTTACTTATTCTGTCATGTAAACTGTCCCGTACTTGCCTCTCTCAATCACATACTTATCACTCTAGCCTTCGGTCGCACGCATGATATCTTCAAATGCTAAATCCTCTGGTAAATCTTCGGTTCTTGATCGGCTGTCATAAAGAAGAGAACGGTGAGAGGCAAATTGATCTTAACAGCCTCAGATCACTAAGATATAAGTTGCGATGGAAAGTAGTGCCACAGAGAGAAGCACACCTATCGTCACAGCAACCAGCATCCAGAGTCTTGAATGGGAGCGACCTCTCTTCTGCCACAATTTTCGAAAAGTACAATGACTAAATTCTGACGAATCAAGTTGAGTTTTCGAGGAATCGAAGCTACAGATCGATCACAATCCATTGTTTGGTGTTTGGGTCAGATTTTTCTCTAATCTAATATACGGGTGTGTTTAGGGACCTTAGACATTAACAAAAAATATTGTGGATCTCTTCCATTACTAAAAATGTGAGAGGGATCTTAGACTAATTTTCCCTAAAAAGATTATGATTTAAATTAATAAAATTACAAAATAAACATTTATTTTTTTATAAGACTCAAATTCTGAGTTTTTTTTTGGGTGATAATTCCCCCCCCTCTTTTTATTATCGGAAAATTAGCCTAGGGTCCCTCTTTCACTTTTCGTAATGGAAGAGATCCACAAAATTATTTTTTGATGTCTAA